AAATTGTAATTATTGAGTTTATTTTGAGGGTTTGTAGAAATTTAACACAAAGTTTCGGGAGAAAAATCAAAAATTTGGACCTACAAATATTCCGAAGAATCTTTTAAAAAACGTTGTCAGACTATTTCACTATGTGTTGACAAATATTATTTACGTGTGTTTAAATGGAAAAAGATAAAAAAAACTGATTGTGTCCCATATACTAGCTTCAATTTTTTGTCATACTCCAATAGTACCTCCCAACCAATTGTAGCGTCAAATAGTCGACCTACAAACGACGCTTAGATGAACAATTGTCGAACAAAGGACTGCTGCTGTGTGTCGGCCATGCAGGCCAGTCCCTCTCTGGCCGCGAGAGGTTCAGTCGGCGACGGCCCCCGACCCAAACCCCTTACCCAGGACCACACAACAAATCACACACTTCGCACACACACAACACACACACACACACACAAGGATCACACACTCACACGGACACCACAACACACACACACCACACACACACACACTCGCGACAACACAATCACACTCTGCACACAAACAACTCTCCGAAACATTCTATATTTGAATAATATATTGTAGGGCCATACCTATATAAGGTATATTTATAAGTTTTATTTTTCAAAATACCAAACAGATCATGCATTTTAGCCATGCCTCATTTTGCCTCACTCCAGCTCTGTCTTTGCATGAGCTGGAGCTGACCCCCCCCCCCCCTGCAAAGGAGGGGGCGAGGCACAAGCGTCATGTTACTATGCTGTTGCCATGCTGTTGCTATGCTGTTGCCATGCCACGGCAAACTCTCATTCCCCTGATAGGTGGAGAGTTGACCATACAGGCGGAGTGCACCTCTGTGACATCATAGAGGTGCAAATCAGAATCCACATGTATCAAATCCGTTGCAGCCCTGTTTTTAGAGATTTGGGTATGGAGGAAAAGAGAGAGGGTTGTATTTTCTGACACTTGGTGAGTTCCCTGGAACACAGGGGACACATATTCATGTATAAAAGACGTACAAAAGTGCATTTTGCATGATAGGTCCCCTTTAACTGAAATAAAATGTACCTTAAAAACAAAATCAAGGTCAATGTGTTGCAAGAATAAGATGTGGAAAGAAAGGGGAAAGAAGTGTGTGTTTGTGGGGAATCTTTGTGTGATAACCAAGTAATTAACAGCAAGCCAGAAACTTTAGCTCTGTTAGACTCAAGTGTCTCTGAACAGTCAATACTATTGATTAGCGTTAATTAAAACATTGCTTCGCCTCTTTGGAACTTTCTCTGCAGCCTGAGATCCAGACAGCTTATGGAATTTGTTTTGCATGCATCTTATTGTTTCACACATGTTGTCTCTAGACCCCCTTACCATCTTATGATCAATTTGTCACAGCTCAAACTCAAAAGGAAGGGGCCAAAAACACTATTTTACTTACAAACATCCAGGCAGGCAAACAAAGTATACTGGAATCCCCCAAAATCCTGGGAATCGAGGCTAAGGTGCAAACAGTGGTTAAAGATAAGTATTGGCAGGCAATGATTTCTCAGAGCAGGGCCAATCCTTTCTTGTGGATTTTGGTATGGAAACATGTTCTTTGCAGTGCTTCAATATGTTTAGCTATCTATTTTACTTTAGCCCAATTTGTTCAGGATGGATTTGAGGTGCAGAAGCATGGATTTTATTGTTATAATTCCACTGAGCAGCCAGGTTTTTGCCCTGAGCTTCAATCTTGCAAATCGCTCCTGCATGTCATGATCTTCTGCATATTCTCTTAATGACCTGTTGTATAACAGCAACACTTTTTAAAAAGTGTTTCTATCATGGGACACAACCCCGAAGAAGGCAGCATTGTCTTTTGTTTCTGTGTGTGCTTAAGTTAGCTGATGTGCTGTGCAGATCTTTAGACCTCTGACTGACCGGTACAAATGTGTATGCTTCACTGCAGCTGAATACCACAAACCATGTAGTTGAAGAACAGCTTTCAGTGAAATTAGCTGATCAATACTTGTAGAAAAAGATAGGCAGACAAGATGTGTAACCGAGCAGAGCTCAAGCTATGGCCGCTGTTTGAAATACATCTGGTATGTCCCAATTAGACTCAGAGAGAGAAGCTACTTCTATCCATAGTGTCAACACCAATAAATGATCTTCTTACCTTATCTGTTAAAGCCTCATTCAGCGTGCACAAATGTACATTTGTTTATAGTGTACATGTTCAGGCTACACTGACAGTGTGTGGATATCTTCCATCCAATTAAGTTGACGAGGGTTCATTAAATCCTGGAACATTTTTAAACTCTGTGCAATTAAAAAGTTTTGATGAACAGCTGGCGCGCGACACAAAGAAGTGAGGATTTGCAGAATCATGTTCATCATTCAGGAGGATTTGTTATTATAATGAAAATAAAAAATGTGTTGTTGGTGATGAGACACAGTCAGAAATCTTTAACATTTAAATAAACATTTATGAAACAACAACAGTGGTAGATTAGATTTCACTCTAAAGTAAAAACACTCTTTAGTACAAAAATGATTAGCATTAAGATATACTTGAAGTACCAAAAAGTACTTTTTATGAGTAATGGCCCATTTCAGAATCATATATATGAAATGACTGGATTATGAATACTGAGGCATTATTGTATCACAGCTAGTAAATGTGGAGATAATGTTAGTTACTTTATAAACTGCTGCTGGATATCTTAACCTATAATTATATAGCAATGTTTATTTATAAGTAGATTCATATTCTGTGTTACCTAATGATCTGAATCTGTAAAGCTGACCAATAACTGTAGGGGAGTAAAACATACAATATTGGCTTAAACAATGAAGTGGAATTGAAGGGGAATGAGCATAACAGGGCGATTCACAAGTACCTCACAATGTTACTCAATTGCAGAACTTGAGTAAATATTCCTAATTACAATTCACCACTCTACAGCAGTCAGCCTAAGGTCTAGTGATATTAACCCTCTCTCCTGTGTTTGCTGGGAAATGCAGCATGTGGGTCTCTGCACAGGCAAACATGGATAATAGAGGAAAGTAATTGTTGCTCCACTGCCTTGTTGTCTGTAGGAAAGCCTCTTGTGTGTGTCCTCTGCTCTGCTCAGTCTCGCTGCTGAATTATAAATGATGCTGCTGCGGTGTGTCGGTGATGACAGAGGAGAAGGGATATAGGTTACTGCAAATGGGCAAATACAGGGAGAAGACATCCGTGAGGACTTTTCTGCCTCGATTTGACAAAGAAACCAGCTCCATCGCAATGACTGTGTCCCACAAAGAGATTAAATAAACAATCGGACGGTTTTAATCATAGATGAAACATGATTCACCGTGGATTCAATAAAATCCCAATACCTGGATTACACGTACAAAAAAATTAAATTAATATTGACTATATATCATGGTGGCTTGATGTGTGAGTGAGTTGGGGAAAAGGTTATGATGTAAATCTGTAAAACCTGCTATAGATTGATGATTTTTGTTCGTATTCACAAGATTTACCATTCCAAGCAAGTTCAGGACTAAAAAGTTGCTTTTATTTAATAAGAGAAGACAGAAAATGTATACTTCCAAAAAATTATAAATTCAATTTCCTAACAATATTGCTGGAGAATCTAACTATCTTTTCGTTCACCACCAAACATGGCAAATAATCACATAGATTTAAATGTAGCTCTGAATATAGCCATTGATTTGGGACAATTGTACTTAAAGGGCCCTCTCAGGATCAATTTCAGATCCATATTTTATATTTTGTGCCTCTACTGTGAGATGTTTCCATGATTTAATGTTCAAAAAGCTCTTTATTTTTCTCATACTGCCTGTGCTGCAGCACCTCTTTTCACCCTCGGTCTGAAACCAGAGCCCAGTGTGCTCTGATTGGTTAGCTGTTGTGATTGGTCATTGGTCAACCGTTTAAAGATGTCCCGCCCCTAAGCCTATCACGCACAATGTGTTGTCTATTCATATAGCACACTACGAAAAGGGAAAACTCCCAAAAGCATGATCGGGCCCCTTTAATTCATCATACTGTTTAATGTGCTTTTTCATGTTTTTCCTCTTCATGACACTCCATACGTTTCATCCCAGCCATTAAGTATAAATCAATTAGCCAAGATATAACAAATAATAAAATATTAATCACAAGCCATAATCCTCATGCAGATTGATTACAGCACACTCAATCAATCATCAATCAATGTTTATTTATATAGCCCAATATCACAAATGTTACATTTGTCTCAGTGGACTTCACAGTTTGTACAGAATATTAGTATGACAATATGACACCCTCTGTCCTTAGACCCTCACATCGTACAAGGAAAAACTTCCAGAGAAAACCCACAGTTTAAAGGGAAAAATGGGAGAAACCTCAGGGAGAGCAACAGAGGAGGGATCCCTCTCCCGGGACGGACAGACGTGCAATAGATGCTGTGTGTAAATTGAAAAGATAATACATTTGCAACATAGGTAGTCCAAATGTTTGGAAATGCATGTGTGTATAATAGGAAGATGAATCCACGAGGATATCCATCCAGGACTTATGATCCAGGACCACAGCCACGACTCAAGATCCAGGACTCACGATCCATGACACAGGACCGCAGGATCATCCATGACTCCGGATCCCGGCGTATATAGACACCAAAAATAAAGAAATTTGGGGAAGCTGGGTTAATCGGAACATGAGAGTACACAGGTATAGACAGAGAGAAGGAAGAAGTAAGATAAGTAAGATGTCCCCCGACAAACTAAGCCTATATCAGCAAAACTAGGGGCTGAATCTAATCAGCCCTAACTATAAGCTTTATCAAAAAGGAAGGTCTTAAGCGCACTCTTAAAAACGGATAGGGTGTCTGCCGNCCCAATCTCGTAAAAATGCCCTCTTTTCTCTCTCCCAAGAATAAAAGACTGCGACGCACTCAAGCGGACCTGGTGTGGCGCCCGGAACAACGGAGCTGATCCAGATTTGTGTCCGAGCTGATCCAGATTTGCGTGTGGACCCACGGCCCTATCAGAAACGTTGCTATCAGAAACAATGCCCGACTGTTTTGGACGTAATATGGTCGGTGTTTACATTAGCATCGCTAACACTCAGAGCTAACCTGTACTGGAGAGCATGTGTGTGAAGAAGCAGGAAGTAAAAAGGAACTCACCTTGTGGTATAACCGGCAAGAGAGAAAGCCTTTGAGCTCCATACTGTTTCAGAAATAATCCTTGATAATCCATAATATGGTGTTTCATAACGGCAGTATTTAGTTTAGACAGTAGCTGCCGGGTCCCGCATGAGCTCAGACCCCTGCTTTTTTATTTTTTAAAGCTTTATACCCCAAATCAGCCCTTTTGAAACAGGAAGTGAAATAGAGGGATATGAGGCATGGCTAGAATGGGTGATCTGTTTGGTATTTTGAGCAAAACACTTCATAGACATGTTTTTTATATTTTTTTATATATCTGAGACCTATGCTATTGCCTAAAAATAGCATGATAGGTGACCTTTAAAGATTAAAAAAGTTACACAATTTACAAAAAAACACAACCTGTAAAGCGCTACTTAATGCAGTATTTTGACTGAAGTGTTGTCTTTATTGTTTATTAAAGTAACAAATGTTTACTAAAAAAGTTGGTGTGACAACCAACATAGAAAACATGCTCATGTTCAACATTAACATATTTGTCCTGTCCTTTTAGTGTTTTCGATGCTTTCTGTTTTAAAATAACATGGTAGTGCCATGAAATAGCCTTAGTACTAAACAACAACACCAATTAACACTCGTACTAACTTATACTCTTGCTCCCTGTAGTCTCCTGCGAGAGGCGACCGGTGTAGACATCAGCATGCGGGTCGGTGTGCACACGGGCAACGTGCTCTGTGGTGTGATCGGTCTGCAGAAGTGGCAGTACGACGTGTGGTCACATGACGTCACGTTAGCCAATCACATGGAGTCTGGAGGTCTTCCTGGGTGAGAACATTCTAGATGAATAATTGTTATGTTTAAGAAAATGTATAAAGAAAGCGTAATTAGACAGTTTGAAGTTGACTTTTGTGTTTTGGTTTTATGTTTCAGTATTTCTAAGCAACTGTGACTGAAAGAATATTGCTTTCATTTAACTTTTTTATGGTTATTTTATTTATTTATTTTTTATTAACAAGGGGCAGGTCAAATTAGATTTTCTTCTCCCTGCTCATTTCCACCATGCGCTATTAAAAAAAGATGACGAAACAACCAGTAGGCTATAAGTGTACATGTTTTGTTTTAAAATAACTGCCATGTGTGGAATGAACAAAACATCATAATAAGCAATACGATTGAGAAAGTGTGGCAAAATGGAGGATATATTTTGAGTTGTCTTGCCCTCTGTACTTTGTATTAATTTTTGTTTTGAAACTACGATTTTCTAATTAATAGGCGAGTCCACATCACAGAGGAGACACATCAGCACTTGGACGGAGCGTATGAAGTGGAGGAGGGGGACGGGGGCAGTCGGGATCCTCTGCTTGAAGGGAGGAAAACCTACCTGGTGATTGACCCCAAGGCAAAAAACAAGAGACGACATACACTGGTAAATCATGAATATTGCAAAATGTTGAAAGGTGTCAGAAAAAACGTCTTTCGTCTAATTTGAAGATTTAAAAATGGAATGCACCTCAAAGGCATTCACTTGATGAGATGTAAGAATGTTATTACGCTTACAGTCCAACTTTTAACCCAAATATGTTTTAATTAATACTAGATTTGACAAATGAAGGTGTCAAGTTTCTGGTTGGTTAAATGAAGTAGCAACTTCCTGACATAGACTGTATGTGTACATAAGGGGAAGCAGGTTTGCCTTCATTTAAAAAGCGGAAAGGAAACCCTCTCTAAGTACGTGCAGATCTATAATTTTAGCGTCTAGTGTACCGACAACTTTGGTGATCCTAAACCCTGGAAACATGTTAATGATCTCTAAAAACCATCATTATAATCCTGCTATGAACTTGCTTTACCTGTATTTACAATGTACAGTTCTTAAAGGTCACCTATTATGCAAAATCCACTTCTTCATGTCTCTTCTACATCAACATGTGTCCCCTCTTCTTCATGTCTCTTCTACATCAACATGTGTCCCCTCTTCTTCATGTCTCTTCTACATCAACATGTGTCCCCTCTTCTTCATGTCTCTTCTACATCAACATGTGTCCCCTCTTCTTCATGTCTCTTCTACATCAACATGTGTCCCCTCTTCTTCCTGTCTCTTCTACATCAACATGTGTCCCCTCTTCTTCATGTCTCTTCTACATCAACATGTGTCCCCTCTTCTTCATGTCTCTTCTACATCAACATGTGTCCCCTCTTCTTCATGTCTCTTCTACATCAACATGTGTCCCCTCTTCCTTCTATGTCTCTTCTACATCAACATGTGTCCCCTCTTCTTCATGTCTCTTCTACATCAACATGTGTCCCCTCTTCTTCATGTCTCTTCTACATCAACATGTGTCCCCTCTTCTTCATGTCTCTTCTACATCAACATGTGTCCCCTCTTCTTCATGTCTCTTCTACATCAACATGTGTCTGAAAATGAGCTGATCAGATTTTGGCCACTTTGTGATGTCATAACGATGTGTTGTCTTGTGTAACCATTAGCCAATCAGCAACCAAGGTAACCACCCCCACCCCCACCCCCCCCTTATCACCTGAATCCTCTCATAGAGCACCATTGAGTTCTTTGTAACCAAATCTCTCTCAGAGGGGTGTGGGGAGGGGCTCCTTATTTTAACAGACACAGAATCAGCACTTTTGAAACAGGGCTGAAACAGAGGGGATTATGGGTAATGCTGCAATGATCTGTTTGGTGTTTGGAGCCAAACACTTCAGAGACATGTTCTGTATATATCTGAGACCTATAATATATTGATGAAAAACAGTGTAATAAGGGACCTTTAACTCATCTCTCTTTCTGTTTCCTGTAGGAGGGCCAGAGCAGTTACCACTGCCAGTGTCCTCCAGGCTTTGTAGGCACTCACTGTGAAATCCAGAGGAACAAGTGTGAGAGCAGACCGTGTCAGAACGGAGGACAGTGCCACGCCGTGCTGGACGACTTCGTGTGTCAGTGCCCACCGCAGTTTGCTGGACAGCTGTGTGAGGTGGGTCTCATGTCACACAGGTCACATTGGATTATTGAAGATACAGTGACGGATTATAAACCGGTGTTAGCCTTTGTTTTGAACAGCCTTAGGACTTCATTAGTGACACTTTACATGTCTGGAGAGGAAAGTCTTTTTGTGATAAAGGTCTACAATCCAAACTAAATTGTGTACAGGTCAATAATGGTGGGAGGTCTAGAGCTACACACTCTTAATCGATTAGTCTACTTCTGAGTCGACTAAGTTTTCTTTATTTTAAATGCTATTTTTCATGCTGAACAACTTTTTTCCAAAAACGTAAACACAAGATTTAAAGTTGACTTCTTTGTGGAGACATTCAGTTTGATAGATCTGTTGATTAAATTAAGTAGTCGACAAAATTGCGTTTGTTGTTTAACAATAACTTTAGTCGAGGATTCGCCCTTGGGATTTCTGTTTTCTGTGAACTGCTCGGCAACAACCTTTTTCCTACCCTTTGGATACAATAGGCAAAAGTCAGAATGTGGCAAAACATGCCAACGAAATGATTCAATCCAAGATGATATGGTAAAAAGAATATAATACTAATACATACTTGACGGCTATTTTGATTTAGATTACACATTAAGTGGCTTGTGGTGCTGTGCAAATACTCAATCTGCAGTAGTCATTACAGCACCGTTATGTAATCCAACTACCAACACAAAAAGTTGTCTAATGTTTCCAGCCAAATAAACTAAGCCACGGTTTCACTGCAAGCTTCTGTAGTAATTGATCATTAAGTTTCATGCAGACACGACATATCGGTGTCCTTGCTGCAGCCTTTCTATAATGGAAGTGTGTGTTGGAAGCTAATGTAGGTTAGCAGGGAGGAAACTGACACTCCACTGCATCTCCTGGGCCCTGAATGGAGGACATTGCTGGTCAGGAGCCAATCCTGTTTTAGCATCTCTACTATAAATATGAGCCTCTCTGAATGAGGCGCCGCTGGATTTCTGCCCGCATACTACCGAGCTCTGATGCCTGCTATGGCACGGTGTACATTCCTGCCCTGCAGTGCCAAAACTACAAACGCCCCCTGCGCCGTGTTGCTCTGATTTAGTTTCCCCTTTCAAGTCCAGAACAGTTTGATTGTGTTTTTGCCCATTCCTACAGTAATCTTGACTAATTTCTTTAGAAGAGACGAGGAGTTCCAGGAAAGAGAACCCTTATTCTCTTAGTAGGTGATATGACTGTATTGATCATGTAAGGTCAGATTATGAATTTATTCCTTTGTTTACCCGAAAAAGTGTAATTATTTGGTCGTTGTGGCTCTATGGATGGCAGCATTGGTGGCTCAATAACTTTTTTTTTTCCATTTAATTTCAAACCTTTATTTAACCAGATTGGTCCCTTTCAAGGGAGACCTGCAGCAAATAGGTTCCACATGAAACATAAAACAATAAAGGACATCATACATTATATTCAAATAGTACATAGTTATCGACATTTACAAGTACCCATGGTGTCAAAAAGCATTTCACTTAGACTAGCTTTAAAAACATGCAGAGAAATGAAATTGCTCAGTTTCAATTCTTGCTGTAGATTGTTCTAAGCAAGTGGAGCTGTGCACATAAAAGCTGTCTTACCTAAGACAGTCCTTGCTCTTGGCACATCTAACAATACTACATCATGAGATCTCAGACAATAGCTGCTTGCAACTCTCTGTGTTATCAGAGAGAAGATATAATACGGGAGTTTACCCAGCATGGCTTTATAAATAAACGTGTACCAATGACTGAGCCTCCGTACTGTAAGTGAAGGCTAACCTGCCTTGGCATACAGGGTACAGTGATGAGTAAGTGCTTTACAGTTAGTAACAAATCTCAGCGCACTGTGATAGGCGGCATCTAACTTGTTCAGGCGATGGGCAGGTGCATTCATATAGACCAGATCACCATAATCCAGCACAGGTCAAAAGGTCACAGTGACTAGCCTTTTCCTGGCCTCAAGCGAGAAACAGGACTTGTTCCTAGAAACCTAGCCTAACCCTCAGCTTTTTAATCATCAAGCCAGATGCCAAGGTATTTATAACAGGCAACCACTTCAAGTTTTATTCCTTGCGCAGTTACAATATCCAAAGTAGTCTCTGGTGTCTTTTTAGCTTTTGAAAAGAGCATTACCTTGGTTTTATCAACATTTTAAAAGAAGCTTTAGTTCAGAGAGCTGATTCTGAATAATGTTAAAAACAGCTTGCAATTCAACAACAGCCTCTTTAATGGAGGTTTAGACTCGCGTATCACAATGGTAATGAACCCTAAATGATGTATCCTAATGATTTTTGCCCTGGTGTTTTCTTTTTTTGCGCCACCAACAAATTGAAATTATGAAGTCATTTTGTTTAAAACAAAACTCAAATTTAGTACAAACATTCAAGTTCACCTAGTTGGATCAAAACTATAATACTTTGATTTATGAATAATGCCTACTGGTATATTTTTCGTCCTGTGCTGCAAATAAGAAAAAGTTAGCATCATTGCAAAGAAAGTGACATCCTTTGTAATGCATTTTATCTTTATTGTATATGTTTAACCCTCCTGTTGTCTTCGGGTCAAATCTGACCGATTTACTACTTTCATCAACCATAACTTTTTTGTTTTACATT